ACCTGTCTAATAGGTTAGGAAGCTGTTCTTAAATTTTCTCTTTAACTTCCACTTCTGATGAATATTTTTTAAAGCAATCTTCATCACTAAAGGACTAATAACAAAAAAAGCTGTTTCAGTTTTATATTTACTGCAAAATTCTCAAGATGAAAAAATGTATCAAATTAAGTGTGTAGAATTAACACCAAGATATCTTTGACATGCCAACAAGAATTCAACAGAACTTCAGGAGAATTGCACACAAAATGGAGTTGTACTAGAGAATACATTAAAAAATGCATTGTTTTGGTTAGTTCAGCAAAGCTGTATAAAACCAAAAGCAAAGATTTTGCTCTCCATCAAGTACTTCAGAGCAGTATTTGTACCTGAGGAGGGCCTCATGAAGTCACGGGGGAGTCATCTTCTCCGTAACAGAGTTTTTTGGATACACTGGGCAACAGAAGCACCTAGTTCCTTTTCTAACACAGCAAGCAGAATTGCTTGGAGATCACACATGCTCTTAACACCCAGTGTTTCAAGATATTTGGTAGTTTTGTAGCCACTGTCTACATAAAATGTGTGTTAAAAATACACGGGGGGGGGGGGGAAGTTATATATAAAATGCTCACCCACAATGATTATTTTCACTACTGCAATGCAAGCTTTTCAGCAATGCTTTTGGTGTGCTTTTATTTGAGTTTTAGAATCTGCCATTAGAAAAGCCACACTGGGACACAGCAACAGCAGTCTGCCTGCATCTGTTGCCTACATCAATTCTTCCTGGCCAACAGCATGGTGCTGATGTAGAGTAATTAGGAAAAATACTTCCTCAGAGTATTCTATCAGGCTCCAATAGACTGGTTTAATAACTGTCAGTAGGTTTCTAATTGGCAAGTTTAAAAAAGTTTGTATTTAAAACTTAGTATCAACCACATGCTTTAATAAAAATAAACAGAGATTTCAGTATTTTTGAAGGCATCTATCTTGTAAAGTGCTGCAACAGAACTGAAAATTAAGAACGTTGAAGTTCTTTCAGTCATCCTGCTAAACAAAACTTGAATATTTTATGAAAAAAAGAAAGCACCCTAAACACACACCTATACACCCCTCTGCTTGCTCGTGAGTACTAGATTTTTAAATTATTTCAGTTATAAACTTTTCAGTCTTTATCACCTTCAGAGCTGTCAATATGCTCTCCCTCTGTGCTCATAGCATATACCTACCAGGTACTTTTTGGATGTGATCCAACAGATTTCAGGTAGAACAACTGTTTGCTGGTTTGGTTTAAAGGTCACAGATACTAGTTAGAGGCCACTCCTGTGAAGCTGGTAAGGCTCAGCCTTGCATATATGGCTTCCCTGAACTCTTTTGCAACCTAAGATCTGGTAATTAGTCTCACATGCGTTGTATTGTGCAAATTGATAGCTGCAAAGGAAAAGAAAGTGGTGTTCAGTATGTAAACAGTCACCTAGTTAGCTAATTCTGTAGATTTAGGTATTTTTTTACATTGCATTAAAGCAGTACAGGAAAGCATGCTCTCACAGGTTGTTATTGCCATGGCTTCTGTATCCAAGTTTAACCTCACTTCTATCTCCCAAAAACCCTGGTAAAAGGGGGACTGCTGCTGGCCAAAACCATGGGCATACTGAGATAGGGGAGTCCTAAGATTTAAAACTTGTTGCTGGTTGGGTAATTAGTTCACATTGTTAATGTAATTAGTGATAATATACCTTAGTCGCATTGTTGGTGCAACCTAAGGGTTAATAAAGTGCGGGACTTAACACCTGTGAAAAGTTAGCTACGTTTGTAACTTTTGGGATAAGATCAGCCAATCCAAGGGGAGACAGAGCCTGCGCAAAGGAAGAGAACCGGTGCAAGCCAGCTTTGTGGTTTGGACACGATCCAAGGAGTAACTGAGCCTGCGCAAGACCAAAAGGTTACTTGCGGTGACGAAGAGGAGCTGCTAGCCTTCATCCCCACGACCCCCTATGACCACTACCAAAAAGCACTGTGCATGCAGGAGGAGTTTATGGAAATACTAATTATCATACGAAGCAGGGGACAGGTTATGAATATGTATAGGAGCTCTCATGAATATGTAACCACAATGCTATATATGTTTGAAGGACAGGTGGCTGCGGTGCACACGACTTTGGTGGGATACCCCCATGTGCTGAATAAATATACCTACTCTACAACTCTAATTGGCTGATTGGTTGTAAAGTCCTTTCTCCGCACATCAATACTGCCCAGGAAGCATAATGTTTAGGGAGTATTTAAAATATAACATACAATATATTGAGATGGTAAAGTGCTAAATATCACAGATTCTTGTACCAATGTAACCAAAGTAGAGATTTACAAATCTTTAATTTAGAGGGCTGCCTTCTAGCTAAGCCTTTGTTATTCCCAGGCAAATGCCAAATGAGGAAGGATTATTGAGGTAGTTCCCTCCTCTCCAAACCATATTCAAAGCCATCACAATAGCTCAATGTCCAGGAAAAATCCAACTGTTTTCCTTCCTAGTGCATGAAAGGAGTATCACGGCATAGCTACTGCATTCGCAGTTGACAATGTACAAAGCAGCTCAGTTAGCTACTTCAGTCTCAGTACGTCTATTCCTGACCTAACAGCTGTGGCAAAAAAAATACTGTTTTGTTGGGGTTTATTAATTTAAAAATATTCAATTTTGCCAATTGACAACAACACTCAAGCAGAAACAAAATTCTGTGTCTTACTACAATAAAATACTTTGAAGAAAAAAAAAGGGTGAAAATCTATTCCCCCAAATCATTGTACATGTTTATCTACCAGAGATTTATTTTTTGTACAATCTAATTGGAATGCTGGTTAGCATTTGAGATACATGTACTCTGAAATACAGAAACCAAGCACAGAGCACTGTAAGTTTCCAGCTATTCAGCTCCGGACAATACTTAAAAGCAGACAGACACTTTGTACTGAACTTCACAAACGATTACCCTATTTTTCAACAAGAAGAATGTTTAACTTGGTTGTTGTACACGTGGCCAGATGCATGGACTTCAGAACATCTACTTTACTGTAGCTGGTTTAGTCATCAAACCCAGGCCTTTCTACCAGTGAACAAAATCCCCCCAACAGCTCTAGGAGGAAAAGATCAAGGATAACATGCACACAACTAATAACACAAGGTTTTATGTCTGCATCAATCCTTAGCTGATTTCCCATGGATTCAAGTAGGATGCTTGCATGAAGAGAAACTCTTCTAGATAAAACAGTAAGGCACTTATTTTAGCAAAGGTGAACAAGAGGACTATTTCTTCATCCCATAACTACTTCTGTCATCTGCTTAGAAAAGAGAAGAATCTCCCGAAATCTCTTCTTTCTTTCCTCATTTCTTTTTGAAATTATAGTTCTTAATCTCTGTAGTACTTTCTCCTAAGGAAACCCATTACCCAGCTAGGCAGGCTTTCACTTTTAAGTCATTGCTATTTCACATGCTAATGCTGCTAATGACAAAAGCAGTAATCAATGACAATGCTGGCAAATAATTTCATTAAGATACACTGGAGAAGTTCACACACTCAAAGGCTTCAGCTTTATGTCCTCCACTGCTTCACGTTTAGAAATACATTACTGCAGTCAGTATTTAAATAAGAAAAATTGTTCATAAGAATTACATGGGCATAATCCTAATATATCATACAGATCCCATATAACATCATCAGTATGATCCATTTGTCATGTCTGACCCAGGCTGCAACCAAGTCTGAAAGCTTTTTTAATGAAATATTTACAGTGTACAACTAAATATTATTGCCATGGTGTGAGGCTCATTGTAGTAAGAACTTTTAGAGCAGGAAAATATCAGACACTATTGCAGACAAGTGCACGTGCACACAGAGTTTAATAGGAAGCCTTTATCCTCTACTGAAAAACTGTTAATTGTGTACCTATAACCTTGTAGGACATTTCCCTGTACAGAGTTAGATCTCCATCAGCCAGCATCAGCTGAGGACACTTCTCTTTAGCATCCTTGACAGACATTAGTTTCTTAACTCCAAGATTTCCGTCTTCATAGTTACAGATAATTACAATGTCTTTTTGATGCACACCTAAAAAGAAAGGTTAAATGGTTTTTAAACTTTAGATTTCTTGGTGCTTCACAGATGACCACGGGACTTTCGTGCTGCTGCAAAGCATATGCTGTGATCCAAATGCAATGTTGCAGAGCAAGCAAACAAGCCCACACAAATCTTATTTTACAAGACTGTGAGAAGGACAGATCTCAATTTAGATTACTGGATGGTAAGAACATTTTAAAACATTATAGATATTTTTTCCCACTGTAATATTACTCTTAATTTGGGGCCTTTTCAGGCAATCTTACCCATGAAAGTTCTCTTTATGTAATAGTCATTTTACAATGTACTTTCTCCACTGATCATAGACACTACTGCCTTCCTCACATTTCTTCTTAACTTCTGGATGGAATAAAGCGTGCCTTAAGCATGACTATATCAAAAGGCTCAGGCTCATCTGTGGAGCTCAGTCCTCACTGTGCCCACATACGTTACAAACCAGCTTCAATCCCCAGAACCACTTAGACATGTTGGCAAGTGCCTGTACTTTTGCTCAAGAGGATTTATTAATCTTGTAGGTACAGCTATATGGCATCTACACTGCACCTTGCTCGCTTTGGACATGGTGTATCTTACCACAGAGGCATGTCCTTATTTTCTTCTGCCTGAATACACAATCCCCAAATTAACAGCCAAGTAACTCACACCTAAAGGCTTGTCTCTTAATTCAGGATTACAGATCATTTCTACTTGTGTGTAAAAACAGTCCAAGTCAACATGCACAATCACTGCTTACTGCACTTCTTGCCAAAACAGACTTGTTCTGGCCTGCTGCAAGGACAGTAAATGAACAGATTAAAAATCACCAGCTACCTTACATGTGATGTCACCATTAAAAAAAAAATAATCATAGTAATAAACAGATATTACAACAAAATAAGATTTACAATTTTATACTAATTCTTGTGCTGTATTAACTCTAGGCTGCTGACACGGATTCCGGGGTTCGGCCGCGGAAGCGGGCGCCGGGCAAGCGCTCCGCCGGATGCGCGCGCAGCCTGCACTCCTGGCCTCGAGCAGCCCGCCGCGGCCGCCATCGCCAGGCTGTCCCGGCCCTGGCCGTGTCTGGGAACAATAAAGCTCTTGTTGTCGGAGGTCGGGCGAGCCTTTTCTCCAGTCGTCCTTCTTCCTTGGGCTCCGCTCCCAGTGCATGGAGAAGCAGGGCAGGATGGACTGCCCCGCGCTGCCCCCGGGCTGGAAGAAGGAAGAGGTGATCCGCAAGTCGGGCCTTAGCGCCGGCAAGAGTGACGTATACTACTTCAGGTACGTGCAGGCGAGACCGCCCGGCCCCTGACAGCCCGCTCCCCCAGCGGGACGGGACCGGCCCGGACAGGGTTCAGCGCCAGAGCTCCTCCATCCCTCCCCGGCCCCGTATCCCGGGGCCGCCACCTGCTCTCCCCTAGTTCTCCCCTCGTTAGAGGCGGCGAGGAACGTCGGAGCCGCTCCCGGTGTCCTCCCGGTCCCTTCCAACTGCCCACCTGTCAGGGGCTGTAGGGAGTCCTGGTCCGCTCCCGCCGGCCCACCTGTTAGAGGGCTGGTCCGCCGTCGCCGTCTGCCTGCCAAGGAGGCGCCGTTCCCTCTCGCCGCGGCTCAGCGGCTGGGGGCCTCAGTCCGCTCCTGCTGTCCGTGTGTCAGGTACTGGTCTCCGCACACCCGCCTGTCAGGGGGGGCGAGACTAGTGCCCTCCCGGCGCGGCTTCCCTTGTCAGGGAGGTGGGGCCGATGCCCTCCCACCGCCTCTTGTTAGGGGCCATTAGGAGGAAACTGTCCTCAAGGCGATGTTGAGGAGAGTGTCGATACAGGGAGAGGAGTGAATGAACCACGCCTGCAGGGTGGGCTGGAGGCCAGACTCCCTGTTTTAGTGCTCCTTCTGCCGCCGGTGCAGAAGCCCCGGGCCGGCAGCCGTACCTCTTGCTCTGGAGGAGCTGCCGGTTGCTTGTTGCCGTGCCCCACGGTTCCCTGCCACTACTGGGCGACTACTGGCACGGGGCTGGCCAATTGTAGGGCAGACAGCCGAGCTTGTAAGGAGCCCCTCGGTCCGATTTTCGTTTGGGAGGCAAGTGTTAGTGCTGCTGCACATCGGTCCATGAGAACCCTCTCTAGAGGGTTCAGCAGAGCAGGGTCAGTCTAACAAGAACACCCCCATTCATTCAAATCAAGTCAGAGTTGCCATAATTTTACCTAAGATGTCCTACCAAAATAGTTTGGTCATTTGTTGGGGACACACCCACACACCCACCCCCCCCCCAGTGAAGTCATGAGGAAGCTTACCATTAGTAATAACAGTTGAAATTTTAGCAAAAATAGAGCATGTGAAAATTGGAGAAGTCTTGCCACTGCTAAATGCTAATTACTACTGAATAGGTTATAGTAAAACCAAGGGAAGCAACATCAACCTAATTTTGTTTTGCCCTCCTGCTTGCTTTCAGAAACTGAAGATAGTTCTCAAGGCAGAAATCAAGTAAATTCTGAAGTCTTGTTTTTAGGCTGTGCTTCTGTAAGTCTAGCCTGCTGCACAGCACAGGAAGCTATCTTCTGCAACAGCTAACCCCTTGTCCAGAGCACCTCTATTTATAGCTCTGTATGCCTCTGATGAGCTACACTTGAAACCTGTCCCTAACGCTGCTGTTTCCAAGCACGCCTAGCAGTCTCCTTTTGTTGTAGTGAATGGATTTAGTCTTCCTGCTGCCTGGCTGGAGGAGCAGGAAGTCATGCTCACTCCCTTTCTGATGCCAGCTAACGGCAAAGTCGGTTTCTGTTGGTGTTGAGTATGGCATCGTTTGGCCCATCACATGTTGCTGCTGAGGAAAATTAAATGTCTGATAAAAGGATTGCTAGATATAGAGGAGGAATGTTGATTTTCTGTGAGCTTTTTGAATGAATCCTATTGAAAACTTTTTTTAGACAGATTCTGGTTTTGTCTTGCCACTTTTGTCTGACTTGTGCTCCCAAACGTATGCCAATATTGTGGCAGATGATTAGGTAGCATCTGTCATGTATCTGTCTCTCTGTAACTGCCTTTCATTTCTTCAGTGCTGCCTCGTCTTGAAGATTGCACTCGAGTCCACAGTTTGAATCCTGTTTTCTGGAGGGCTCCTGGTTTTCTATAGATTGCTAAATTGAACTTTCTGCAGAGGATTATTCTTTCCAGAATTAAATGCCAGACTTTTCTCAAGCCAGTCACTGCTGACTCTGTTGGAATATATTTAATGTAGAAGGCCCAAGTAACTTCAGCTATTTGCTCAGAATGACCTCTTTTAAAAATACTTAGCCACACAGTTTAGCCACATGTTTGCCCCATCAGGATGTAGAGGTGTTAGTGTTTTATTTATTACAGACCCTTAATTAAACTATAAAAATATGGGGGAAAATGCAGTAAGTTCTAGTATTTACAGATGTTTGCTTTTCAAAGAATGATATGTAACCTCATTAAGTTCATTAAGGTACCTTAGTTAGCTGACTAAAAAGCCAAGGTTTATGTTTTTATGATTTCTTAAGGCTAGAAAGAAAAACCCAAAGGGGGTTGGACAAAGCCTCATTTACTGTGATGGTCTAAATAATGCTAATAGTAACTCTTGCCAGATTAATACCTGTTGCAATCTAACTTATTTGAATTTTGAAACTTGCTTGTTTCAGGGCTGCTTTATGGTATTTTTACCATGTCATACTTTAGGAAGATGTGAACCAGTTGCACAGTTAAACACTTCCAGTAGTTTCTAGGAAGATGTTTTTTTCCCCTCTTCACAGATATCCATGAGTCTTCTGACCTTTGTGATTAACATAAAAAAGCTATTAAAAGAGGGGTGTGGTGGAAATACTTCACAAATACTGGACTAGATCGGAACACAGCTTTTGAGGTTAGCCCCTTCTGTGATCTGAGCCTTCATCCTTCAGATTTTGCCACTGCTGTTGCCTAAAACCCTGTTAAAAAACTCAACACAGTTTTTGTTGAAGATGCAAAACTGTAATCTGCTCATCACTGACTCCAGAATTCTGTCTTTTAAATGTGGGAAAGAGGTACGAATAAATTTTTCAAATTTTAGGATGCCTTCCAGCATGGTTATCAGTGATGCAGATCTGCCAAAAAACTCCACAAAATTGAAACTAAAACCTTACCAGACAACTCATAGCTTAGAGTTTTTTGATTTCATTACAGATTACAGGTTTGGGAAAATAAATAATCATTTATGTCTAGAGAAATAACTTCTGTTCAGTGACAGGAATACTTCTGCACAACCTAAGTGAAACAAATAAAAAAAATATTTTATGGTTGCAGGTAGGACTGGCATAGGAAATTTATCTTTATTTATTTATTTATTTTATTTTCATTCTGTTATAACTATGAGGCAGATTTCAGCACTGCTATATTTAAAACAAATGAAAAATCTGTTTTGATCCATTAAGTAGAACAAGCCAAATACATTCAAAAGAGTTATGTCACTCCAGTTCTTTTGAGAAAAAAAAAAAAAGAATGTTAATAAATACTACATTGTTAAAATATGGAGTTGGGTACAAAGTGGGTTTTGCTTTGTGTGCCTTATACAGACTAATATTCCCTAAAAGCCTGCATAGTCAGGATTTGGCCTGACTACTTAAAAAGTAATACCTCACTTTTTTGGCAGTTGTAGGACAATGGCAAAAATGTCCACTGCATTTTAAGTTTGTACATCTTCAGAATAATTCACTTAAGCCTCCAGTTGCTTATTTTTATCCAAGCAGTCAGAAGAAATAGATTGCCATGTGTCTTGATTTGAGGACAGTAGGCTTGCACAGGTGACACCAGAAGCCTGGCTTGGTTTGCACAATGCTTGTTAATGGTGATGGCGAAAAGTTTAATTCTTCTGGGGTCGAGGTTGAGGAAGGAGAGAATGACTATATTTAGTACTATAAACTTATTTGATCTAGGGAGTAGTACATTAAAATCATGATACTGAATGTAGGACTGTCATGGTTTAAGCCTAGCTGGTAACTTGGAACCACACAGCTGCTCACTCACTCCCCCACCTTATTACCCCTCGGCTCCCAGAGGGATGGGGAGGAGAATCGAAAGAATGTAAATCCCATGGGTTAAGAACAGTCCAGTAATTAAGGTATAATACAAAACCACTACTACTACCACCAAAAATAATAATAAGGGAAATAACAAGGGAAGAGAATATAAAACTAAAAGGGGAAAGGGAGAAAAAAACCCCAATAAACACAAGTGATAAACAATGCAATTGCTCACCACCTGCCAAGCAATACCCAGCCTGACCTGAGCAGTGATCTGGGCCTTCCGGGTGACTCCCCGCCTGTTGATATACTGGGCATGATGTGCTGTGGGATGGAATACCCCTTAGGCTACTTTGGGTCAGGTGGCCTGTCTCTGCTTCCTCCCGGCTTCCCGTGCCCTTCCTAACTGGCAGAGCATGAGACCGAAAAGTCCTTGATGGGAGTAAGCATTACTTAGCAAGACCTAAAAACATTGGTGTGTTATCAGCACTGTTCTCAGACTAAAGTCAAAACCAGCACTGTACCAGCTACTAAGAAGGAGAAAAATAACTGTTGCAGCAGAACCCAGAACAGTATTCCCTAATTCCATGCCATTCATGTCATGCTCCTAACCTTTTTTTTTTTTAAATGTACCATTCCTTTTTGTCTCATATATATATACATCCACAAACAGAGATATAATTCATTATTCCATGGACCAATCCCTATAAAGTTGCTGAATTCATTCAGTCCATGGTGTCAGGCTCCATCTCATGTAACAGTCCTATATTTATCAATATACCATCGCTTTCTGTCTCATATACACACACATGCACACACACACACACAAAGAGAGAGATATCATTCCTTAGTCCATGTACCATCACTATAAAGTTTGCCGACTTCATTCAGTCCATGATGTCAGGCTCCATCAGTTCTAACAGTCTTTCAGGGCAGGAGAGACCGTGTGTAGTGTTGGATTGTTGCCTGCTGATGACATTGCTGAGCTCGTCTGGTTTCATCAAAGTTCATGCTTTGTTGGGGTGATGATTGGAGGGAAGTCAGGGTCAGTCAGTGATGACCTGAGGACAGTTCTGCTGCTGCTGGCATTTCCCAGGTTGTGAATGCTCCATCCCTGGTGGTGCTCAAGACCAGGTTGGACGAGGCCTTGGGTGATATGGTTTAGTGTGAGGTGTCCCTGCCCATGGCAGGGGGGTTGGAACTTGATGATCTTAAGGTCCTTTCCAACCCTAACTATTCTATGATTCTATTCTCTGATGATGATCGTGACAG